ATGATGGCCGCATTCGTGTCAGACGCTATGCCGGTGAACGCCACCTTCCGGAGTGCATTATCGAACGCCACAGTGGACGAACACCCGGAGTTATGGTCTGGGGCGCCATAGCATATCATAGACGATCTCAATTGCTACGAATTGTGGGCAATCTGAACAGCACCGTATATCCGTGAAGTTCTACAGCCCGAAGCTGTTTCCTTCCTTCAAAGCTTGCCAGGCGCTGTATTTCAACAGGACAATGCCCGCCCTCATACTGCTCGGATTTTTAAATCCTTCTTTGCAGCGCAGCAGGTACAGCTTCTTCCTTGGCCTGCGTGTTCCCCGGATATGTCGCCAATTGAACATGTGTGGGATGTCATTGGTCGGCGTCTTGCTCGTGATCCTCGTCCTGTTGCGTCTGCAGACGAACTTTGGGTACGCGTACAAACGATATGGAATGCTCTTCCTCAGTCAGACATTCAAACTTTGTTTGACTCCATGCCACGTCGTGTAGCAGCACTTATTGCGGCGCGTGGTGGCCACACAAAATACTGATTCTGATCTCTTGTTCTTGTTTGTTTGCTTTGAACATTTAATCATTTATTTGTACCACTACCACTCAACTGTGTATTAAATTGCATTCAATTATGACGATTCCTTCTTGGTGTTGCAATTTTCACAAACGTGAGTGTACATCTATGGGGGAGTTGGAGTTGGTCATATTTTCTACCGACTCCACAGCCCTGCATTTAACTACTCAGGTTACCATAAATAAACCACCACTTGGCGCTAAATGAAACAACTTTGCAAGGATTGAAACAACAACGATTCCAATGTCTTTTTTATAGGATTTGATCAAAAAGACTACAGTTTGTAATTAGAACCAATTATAAATAAATGAACTATTAAATCATTTCGTGTCTTCTAGTATAAGCCCATAAAGGACCGTGTAGTTAAAATTATGGAGTGTGGTGACTTTGTTTGCTGCTTGTTAGTTGGTGGAACTGGCTGGCTTGTTAGTTGGTGGAACTGGCTGGCTGCATCGTACTTTTGTGATTACTACTTTATAGCCCCGTTCACATGCAACACTCCTTCACACAGCTGCCGTTAGCAAGGGGAGAAAAAGGAGACATGAAGGAGTTTCGTCTTTAGGACCTGTTCAGAAGACCACCGTCTTCCTTCCCCTTTACACCTAAGCCTCTGTGAACAATCACGTCTCCGAATTGGCAGATTTCTAATGCTGTTTACATGTTTTTAACGTTGTTTACTGTTGTTAATTTTGTAATCTGGACTTTCGCAACTGGTACCTGAACTTTCGTAATGGTTCCTGAAAACTATATGCGTTTTAATTATTATTATTATTTTATAAGCTGTTATTTAGTTCACTCTTGGTGCTTGTTGCTATTTTTAAAAGATGGTCATGGATTTTTTAAACTGCTTCCCGATAAGATATAGAACTCAAACTTTGTACATATACTACTTGTGGATGTGGTGTCACACTTCTGATTTTTAGAGGACTAGATTTTTTTCAAATTTAAAGTTGAAACGATTTTTTTGCAAATATTAACAAATAAACTGAGAATCTCAGAATATTATAGTGTGCACCATAACACACTGTGTAGGAAAAAAATAAATAAATAAATGAAATTTTTAGTGAATTTTTTTTAAAAAATATTTTGGGAGAATTTTTGAAAATCATTCATATTTTTAGACTTCTTGACGCCCATTAATTTTAAAATTTCATATCTAAAAATATATCGGTTACAAATTTCCGACATTTTTACAGCTTATAAAACAAACATTTCGCATTTAAAAAAAAGATACAGGAAATTAATTGGATGATTTTTTTTACTTTTTTGAAAGATGTGCAATGAGGGAGAATGGAAAATATTGGTCCTTCTTGGGCATCACTTCGAAAGATCGGTTTCAAAGTAATAATCTCATTATACCACACTATTTTTATGACATTATTTATGCTAGATAAGTTGTTATTGTTGCCATTTGTTAATTCAGCGTTAGATTGGAGATATTTCCGAGTTAACTTTCTCTTAAGATGCGTTTTGCATTCCTTTGTGTTTAACATTCTTATTAGATTGAAGCATAACTACTGATTATACTTAGTGATATTCTAAACATTTGTACGAGTATTTCTGTGGAAAATTCCAGAACTTTGAAGTGTTTCTGTTGATAAAATAAATTTAATTAAGCTATCATCGGATTTGAGTGCAATGACAATCATTTACGAACTATTATCAGTCTATTACAAACCCGTATGCCCGCAACAATATTATAATTAATTAATGTATTAAATTGTTTTGAACATGTTTTACAAAACAAAAGCAGGTAAAGAAAAATTCTGCTTGCGTTTTATGAGTTTTTGCAATTTTTCTGGCCACATAAGGTTTTAAAAAAAGGTTTGTAATTTATGTTTTATATTACCAATTAAATAAATAGCACTAGGTTTGATTTATATATATATATATATATATATATATATGTACTGAAATTCAGTAAAAAAATTTTAAAATAATAAATCCTTAAATGTCTATTTAGACAGTTGTATTCTTTAAACTGCAAATGCAAACTGAGAAACCTTTTGCATTTTTTTCAATAAATCCTTTTACTTAAAGTCTTAAAACATATACAGGTTAAGTATTTATAATGCTAATTTTTTTTATTATTTTTACTGCTTATTTAAAATTATATACTTTATAGAAACAAGGATGGGTTTTGCAAAATACTGAAAGGAAAAATTATTTGAAATGAAAATGTAACAGATCATATTTGTTTTAAAGATTTTAGATAAGAGCGTAATTTTTTTTTCCTCAGAAACTAATTCATTAATTGCAAAATCATTCCTTGAAGTTATTAAGAACACTCTAATAAATACAATAAAAAAACTGGGGGGAGACATTAAAAATTGTAGGAGAAGAACGACATTTTAATTGTAAAATTTTTCTTCAAAAATTTAAATAAAAAAAATACTAGCAAAAACTTTTTTTCAGCTTAAAATTGTTTTATTTCACAAAACCATTTAACAATATTCATAAAAAGTAGATGATGGAATACCTAGCATCAGATAACCTTGTCTGTATTTGTCTATAATTTGTGTATCTTGTACAGTTCTATCTAATTTTTGGGGGGATGCTATCACATCCCCAGACATCTATCAGTGCGATTGTTTCGCTGACAGTCCAGCGAGCAGTAACTAAAATGCAAACTGTGAAACCTTTTGCAGTTATCTTTACGGGAAATCTCACCCAATTTGCTCTGCTCCCGAGAGGTAAGGAACATTCAACCAAAGTTCTACCTCCAATTCGGTGAGGCAGTTAATGCTTGTCCCATGTGAACGGGACACGTTGGAAGAACTGGTTTTCGCTACCGGTCGAATCTGCTCTTGTGAACGGGGCTTGTAACATTTATACTGAGCAGCTTTAGAAACTTCTTTTTCCAGACAACCTAAACAATCTCTTCATCATGTGAGCCTTGATATGTTTCTGATGACTAAATATTTATCCTAACCTTGGTAAAAATAAATTTTTGATAATTTTTAGCTACCTTATTGCATCAAATTAAGCTGCTATTGGATTTTAAAATTTGGGAAATTGAAAATAGTAATTATTCCAGTCTTTGATTTGAAGATTTTAAAATATGTAAAATAATAATAAATGCTCATGATTTTAAAATAGGCATTGAAAAATAGGTAAAATTTTGGGGAATCTTCGGATTATGGTAACTTGGCAAAAATTTGGCGATCAACCCTGCTACAGCAACCTGCTAGTTTTTTTTTTTTTTTTTGGACCCCATTTTGTTTTCACAAAGTAAAGTCTTTTTTTTTTTTTTTTTTTTTTTTTACTCAAAATTTTTTCCAACAATCTGCTAGCCGAATTACGCTCATGCTAGAACTTTTATGGAACAAAAGTTCTTAATAATGACGAAGATTAGGTGCAAAATTGGGAGAAAGTGTAGAATAGCCCACTGCTTCGCGCGTTTTTAAGAATTGCACATACGTGGTATCCATCCATGTACACGTCGACCTATTTTCACTTAAGAAAACATCCCAGAATTGCACAAAAATGGCATTGCGCACACTCTTGACTTTATCCATGTACACATCAACCTATTTTCACTTAAAAAGTCAAAGAAAATTGACAAAAATCCTATTCTTCTTACTCTTGTAAAAAGCGCCAAACAAATAAATGGGCGATTCTGCACTTTAGCAGTGAAATTGTTTCTAAGTGCTTTAGCTAAAATCATGATCGGAATTTTCTGGAAAATGTCACATGACATGTCTCATGATCTCTCATTTCTCTGAGACAAAATAATCTGTGATTCGAACTGTGTACTTCTCAGATTATTGCTAAAGTCCTACCTAGTAACCTTTATCGCCTTACCAAAATGTCGCCAAACTACCTGTTACCATATTTCAAAGATTAGCCAAAATTTTTAATATATATTTATAATAAACTACTTAGTTAAAAATTGATAATTTATTTAAAGGTATCTTTTTAAGGTTATGGGAAATAAGCAGAAATCTGATATTAAAATTTTGCTTTGAATTTAAGCCACATTTGAATTTTGTGTGTTAAAAATTTGAATAAAAAGAGCACCTTAAATTAATGCAGTAAAATTTTATTAGATGAAAAAACAATAGCTTGTATGTAGATTTGCTTTAAAAATTATTTTACATTTATAGTATTAAAGAACTCAAGATTGTAATCTATGAGTATTGCAATTCTGTAAAAAATTAATATGTTGTATAAGGAAAAAACTGTATTATTTTTAATGGAAATTGTAATTTTTTATAACTTTATCGTAGCTGATTAACACAGTTTTAATGTGTAATCAGAATATGATGAAAGATGTAAATGCATTTTCTTGTTCAAACCTGATTTAGTGGACTTGATAAATTGAGCTGTAATTGATTAATTTTACAAATGAAAAATGCTGATGTAATTTCTATTCATATAAATTTTTTTTTACATATAACTAATCAGTATGCATTAATTTCTTTACAGGAAAGGAGGCAAGAAAAAGAGAATTAAAAAAGGTTATTTTCTTTTGAAATATAACATATTTGAAATGTCATATGAATTTACAGTACTTTTCCATTATGAATCTGCCATGCATTTCATCTGGTTTTTTTATTGTTGGACAATTTCTAGTGTATGTGACACACAAAACTGAAATGCTTATTAAAAACACACTCGCAGATACTCAATGTTGTTTCCATTATTGGGTATTAGCATGTGTTTAACTTTTCTTTCATATGTGCCAAAATGTATGGTAAGTGTATAAAGGAAATATAAAAAACTTAGATTAAAACAGATCCGAACAATAATATAAAACTTTTAAAATATTTAACAAAATAAATTTTTAATCATTTGCGTTTTCAGTCCATATATTCTTATGTTGAATTTGCCAAAAAATAATAATAATAATGTAAGAAATTTTTAAGATATAAAAATTTAAAGTTCATTTTTAAAATCTATGCCTAGTTTATTTTGCTAGCAAGGGCTAATATGTCAGTGTCTACTTCTTCCCAGATGTTTAGTATAATAATCATATTTTTTTAATATTCTCTTGTTTCTCTACATTTTTTTTTTTTTTTTTTTTTTTATTGTTTCACTAAAATGTTTTCTTAGTTGCAAAGTTTAAAGTAATTTTTCATTTCACTTTTAGAACAAAAAACAAAGACAAATGGTTCGGGCTGCTGTCTTAAAAGGAAAGGATCCCTTACAACTGATAAGTGACATGGAGAAGATAGATGAAATGGGTAATTATTCGAACATTTGTCCTAGCCTCTTGAACAATGTTAAATCGCACTGACAAGTGATAAGGGGAACAATATGTATGTGGGTTAAATGCTTAAGGGGGTAAATATTCTGGCAAAAAGAGTGATTGTATTCAATCCAAAGGTTCAAAAGAATGCTCTTGTCAAGCACTTCCAACCTGAATGAATTCCTGGAATCAGGAGTTAGATGTTTTCACTCTCTGCAGTCACTTGAAGCCAAGATTTTGAAGTGAAAATCAGAATCTTTAGTAAATTGCATTTGCTTTAGTTGAAATACAGTTGGTCTAGTGCTCCTTTTAGTAGTAAATATGGCTCCTGCAAAAAGAAACACAGTGTGGGTTTCAAATGCAAAGCTATTCATTTTGCAAAAGAAAATGGAAATCGTGTTGCAGCAAGGATGTTTGATGTTGTTGAAAGATGGAACAGATAATGATTATTTATTCATAGATCAAAATAACATTAATGATGAAGACGAAACAAAATTCGATGATATGCCTGAAGATTTAAAGGAAGATAAACATTACAAAATCTTCATGTTATTCGATAATGAAAATGCTTAATTTCATAAGGTATGCCATTTCTTTTCAATAAGCAGCAGTTTGGTGAGTGTAAAAGTCTAATTTTTTTCTTGGTTTTAAGCTGTCATTTTTATGTCCGCTGTATAATGCACACCCGTAAATTTCGGTCTTATTTTTTGGGTTAAAAGTGCACGTTATATGCCAGAATATACAGCATATGTAAAGAAGTTATGGCATAAAAGTCTAAAATATTAGAGTTTTTTTTTTTTACATTAAAGGCTATAAATCTTTGATGTTTTTTCCTATTAGGCATTTTAGTGATCATAGCATTTTAGTAAATCTTATGAAGCCTGGTGCAAAAAGTATTAATTCAGCATGCATAATGTCAACTAACTACTTAACTCTTTTTCTATGAATACCTAAATTATGTTAGAGTTTTAATATGTTTGAGGATTTATGATCATGATAAAAATTGCTGTTGTAGAAAAATTAAGATTGGTTATTTACATAAAAACTACTGAAAAAGTAGCTGTTTTTTGTGGGTCCCATTTTAAGACTAATGAGGAAGCTTTGATTAAAACTTTATGAATTTTAAATTTGATTAAATTCACCCATAGACTGACAGTGAGTATATCTCAGGGAAGGTACATTTACTTCAATAAACAGTATAATAATGTCTAAACTGTGACTTGTTTTTATTTGGTTTTGATTTATTGATTAGCTTTACTATTCTAATTTTCTTAGCACAAAGCTGAAATATCTCCTAAGTTATATGACATGCACTTCTTTTTCTGAAAAGGCCAAAAACTTTTCTATGTCACCACATCAATTTTCTGCTAAACAAAATAAAAATAATTAAATAGAGAAAGTATGATAATAATGAACTGTCTATTAATTGGTACTTGTATTAGTGTAACCAGTTTAGTGATTTTTTACAGAAGAAAACATTATTTAGTAAATTTTCAAATTGCAACTTCTACGTTACCTAAAGAACTGTTATGTGCATGGTTGCCAGAGTTTGGCGTCTTCTACTGAGGTTGATTGTAGTAATACATAAGTACCTATTAAATCATTATCTTTTGAAATAGAAAAACATTAATCAATAGCTTATTATGGAAGGTTTCAACAAAAGTTAATTCACCATTAAAAGTTTTTTGGGAGAGAGATACTTCTTAGAGAGCCCCATCCAAAAGAGTTTTAGACAGTAAATATTTTTTAAAAATTCTTAGTTTTAAAATAGGTTTCTAGAGATTAATTAAAATGATCAATAGATGCAGAAACTATGGTTGCTCTAAGCCTGTTTTAGATTTAAATTGATCGACTCTAGTTTCTTTAGGTGTAAAATGAGCTGGCTGTAATTATAGAAGATTGATTCATCCCTCATAATTTTGAAGCTGCATTTTTAGTCATTTGTTCTTTTAACTGCATCATAATTATGAAATTATATTTTACTGGTAGTTTTCCATTAAAACCATATCATACACTTGCATTTTTAGTCATTTGTTCTTTTAACTGCATCATAATTATGAAATTATTTTTTACTGGTAGTTTTCCATTAAAACCATATCATACACTTTTGATATCATATTGGTGCATTTTGGCTGGTTTCTTTTTCCTGTGTTTGGTACAGTACTAAATGTTTAGTCTTTCAGGTTTTCTTGCTTTAGTTTTTCAGGTTTTCTTGCCTTTTATTAAATTTTTGTTGGTAGATTTCTTCTTGATTTATGTTGATGTAATTCCTGGAAACGCTTTCAAAGAAAGGGAAAACATGAAATAAGGACAAGTTCAGGAAAAATTCAGTGATATTTATTGCTAGATAAAATATGTAACACTAAAAAAATAATGGTAATTTAAAAAAAAAAAGTGTCCTTAAAAAAGAGAAAGAAATCACAATAAAATAACAGGTTTAAAAATAAAAATAATATTTCCCCTCTGTCGTGTGCGGCACTGTGTAAATTGAATTAATTCAGTATCTAAATGTTGTCTCTTTGCCCATCCACAACATTAAGATACTTAATTATTTATTGTGAAATTTTGCACTATCCCTTATATGCTGAACAGACTGGGTATGACAAATAGTGTCCAAATCAATAAAATGATAAGATTAATTTATTGTGACATATTCTAAATCACTTATTGTAAAATAACAAAAAAATCCTCTGATTTGATGAAAAACATACTTATGTGAGCAATGGTTACAAAGATAATTAATTGTCATGAAAGAAGCCTTGGCACCTTTCAAATATGCCAAAACACAAAAGCACTAAGTGGTATAGTTTTGATCGAAGAGAATCTTTTAATTATACTTTTTCATGTCATTATTGTATCCAAAATAGCATTTCACTTATATGGAAATTTATTGCATATAGAATTTGTTTTAATTCTGTAATATTGAAATTTTGGAACTACTCTTATATGTGCCCTCAGGTCGCCAAATGCAGGAACAAATTTCTCGCCAAACATTTTTGACGAGAAACTCCGTGCTGCCATATTACTATCTAAATTTTTTGTTTATATTTCAAACTTTAAGCCTAAAATGTCTCCAAAAATGCAGTTTTCGCATATGCAAAAACCACGTTTTGAACACATAATTTAAGCTAAAAATCCAAAACAAAAACAAAAAATTTAGATAGCAAAAACGTAGTTTCTAACCAAAAATATTTGACAAGAAACAATGTACACAACGATATGTTGTAACTTCAAAAAAATCTGTGAATTGCACAATCTAGGCAATGAACGAACTACGCACTCCTCGCTTTAATAAATTAACATAACAACAATAAATTTCAAAGAATACCATGTACACAGCATCCTGTTTAAACTTAAAAATACATTTACGACTTGCACAATCTAGGCAACGAATGAATCTATGAACTACACACACCTCACTTTAATAAATTAACATAACAACAAGAAATTTTTAAAGAATACCATGTACACAGTGTTCTGTTTCAACTTTAAAAAACATCTACGAATTGCACAATCTAGGCACTACGCGCTAATCAACAAAATAAATTAACTAAAATAAATTTCAAAAAAGCAACAATAATGACAGACATTCATACTAAAAAAACAATGAACATAACATTCCACAAAATAAGAACAAGAATAAAATAAAATGCACTTACCATGAATGAATACTTCTGAACAGCAGGAATACCAATTTCGTACTGCCTTTAACAATCTGCCACGTAATCACTATCATATTTATATGACAACCAGACACACTATTCAAAAAATTCATACTACGGTTCACAAATAAATGTTCAAAACCTTCTTTTCCTAAATCCTTGTAAGATTTCCAGCCATTCGAGAAAATAGTTGCACAAGGCTCAATCCACTCTTTAATACACTGCATCAGCATTTCCTTACTTCTATCATGCACAGCCACTAAAAATAATCTCCCAGACCCTCTTGCAGTCTCTCATTGCAAAATAGACCATTTCAAAACACGCAGGACACGAACCAACGAGATATTAAATCACTCCAGCCAAAGAGTTTTCAACGTCAAAAGGGTTGCCATACAACATGCAATCGTGTCAAAAACCAGTGCAGAACACATCGCCACATTTGGTGATCTTGGGGCGCATATAAAAGTGGGGCCGAAATTTTTTATTAAATTTTCCATATCCATATATTATATGATTATCTTTTAAAATTTAGAATATAATGTTAACTCTCCTCCATCACTGAATGAAAAAGTTTTGAAAGATAAAAGAAAAAAGCTGAAAGAGACTTGGGATCGAGTAATGAGATTATATGTAAGTGTATTCAATGTTTCTCGTTTACAAATTATAATATGCAAATTACAAATTACATATATATTATATATCATATGGTATATAATTTATTATGCTATATAAATTATGAATATGTACATACAAACTTTACATAATCTTAAAAGAGAGAATTTATGTTATTAATGCTAACCAAGACATTTTTTAGAAAATTAAGTTAAGTAAAAATTATGAGAGATTGCTAGAAGCAGGAATACATTTGTATGTGTACAGTCACATGTCTATTTCTGTGATTTCAATTTACTCTAATTTATTATTATCCATAGGTAGATTTATGTAATTTAAAAAGAAATGTTTTATTTAGAAATTTATTTTATCCTTAATGTATTTAAAAATATTATGATTTAAAATGATGTGCACAAAATGAGATTTTTTTAAACAATATTATGGATTATCTGTTCTCCTTTTACTGTCCCTAAACAACATTATTTGAAATTGCTCTACCTCATTCACTATAGATTCGTTTAGAATTTTGTTTTTATGTACCTTTTCTTCTGTTGAAACTCTCATCATGACTTCCTTTTTGAAATCTTAATGGATTTGATGAATAACTTAATGACTGATATGCTTTATAGTCTTTACTTTACCTTTCTGTTCTAATGAGAACGATAATAAATGTCTGGCTACAAAAAACTTTTCAAATATCATAGCTCAATTAGAATTAATACATGTTTCAAAGGTACAAGTAATATATTTGATCAGTGATTATTAGCTTCAGTAATGTTTTATATATGGGTATATCTACTTTTGCTTTGCTAACTTATGAAAAGTATAAATCTTTCTGCTTAGTACGCAACATTGAATAGGAAAACTGTTATATCTGATCCATTATCACAAGAGTTTGAAAATCACTTTAAGTAGATTTTTCTCATCCAATACATAGAATTCTTATAAAATAGTATCTGTATAAAACATTTTGTATGAAAAGAACTCAAGCTGACACTTATCCATATTTTAGGTAAGCTGGCATAGTTTTATGCCACTTATTCCTTTCATTTGCAGTTTGTATGCAATGTGCATATGAATGCATTTATAAAATTGTAAATCCAACATATCAATTTTTTAAATAGGTTTTTAAATGAAACAGTGGTATTTATGAACATATTTAACCCTTTAACTGTCAAGTTATTTTGATGATTTGGGTAACATTTCCCGAAATACAGTCGGGTTTGACAAAGAGATGAAGCCGCAATAAACGTCTCCCGATATAGTATATTCGGGTATAACAATACGATGCACTCAAAAAAAAATTACCCCGAGTAATACTCGGGCGTGACATTTTTGAACACCAGTGCTGTGCCCGAGATTATCTCGGGCATGACAGTTAAAAGGTTAAAAAAATATACAGATCTATTTTTTATCACCTTTTATGTTTGTGCATCAGTTGGTGCGTTTTTAATATATATATGTAGTATATGTATGAAAGAGTTAAATGATGTTTTGTATGGCATGTGCACATTAAAATATCTGAAACTATCTCCACATGCATAAGAATAATGGTACAGTCAAAAGTCGTTAATTCGGACACCCATAATCCGGAATGATCTATAATCCGGACCTCAAAGCTAAAAGCTTTCTGCGCATGCGCCGTGTTGACACATGCGCATAGGCGTTTACGTGTGCGCGTAAGACTTTTACGACTGCGCAGATGCGTGTGCGCAAGTGCAGAATACATTTTCGCATGCGCGTTTAATGTATAACGGACGGTATAAGCTAAAATTATCTATTTCAGTTAATGTTGATGATTGCGTTGTTCCTTAATCTTCGAATTGGATGCGGCTTATTATTTTTTGCAGACTGTAAGAACAATGTTATAAAAGTAAACTTGAACTTTCGATTATGTCAAATAGAATTTCCGATGCTGGAGCTCCCAAAGAATCTACAAAACGAAAGTATGTTTCGATGTCCATCAAACAAAAAGTGGAATTGCTTCAAAAAAATGGTTAAAGACATGAAGAAGGTGACAGAGAGGTTAGTGAAAATGAAAAAATTTCGGTTGACAATTTAGTCGGTATTCTCGGCACAGCAATTGCGGGACTTGAACAGCGGAACTTTTTAACTGAACAAGAAATTATGTCTGTTTATAGAATTAAAGAGAAAGTATTATCACATAAAACGAAGCGACTTAAATAACTTGCATTGAAAGAAATGTTTAATAAAGTAAACAAATAAATATTAAGCTTTTTTTTTTTTTTTTTTTTTTTTTTTGTAAATTTTGATACCCTTTAGATCATAATTGTTCTTTATTTCATAAATTACGGTTTCATGTTTTTAATTTTAGAATTTCTGCATGCCATCTTACGAGATTTAAACTAATGATCTATAATCTATAATCCGGAAAAATCGATAATCCGGAATCTCCGAAGTCCCGACGAGTCCGGATTAACGACTTTTGACTGTATTTGCTAAAGTAATCAATTAGCTTATTTTTTCACAGAATATTGGAAATGTTAATCTAATTATTATCCAGTCCAGTGTGATTCATCTCTTGCTGCAGTGCGATGCAACTAATGGCTGCAATGCAACCAATAATATGTTGTCATCCAAATGTGTAGCAAAATACTTTGCATATAAAGTATATTTCCACACAAATCTCTATAATTCAGGATTTAATCTTAGTTTTTATCAATTTTATTTTCTTTTTTTTTTTATGATGCCAAAGTATCATTTGGAAGAATCTTTGACACAGAAAATTGTTAGTCTTGTAAAAGCACAGTAATGAAAAATCGTTTCTCTGCCTATAACTCGTAACTACCTGTCATAGCAGAAACTTGGCTTCTAGGCAGATAAGTTAAGGTCTTGCAGCTGCTACTGTGAACTTTTGTGTTTTAGCAAATTTTATGCCAATGAGAGCAACGTGTTTTAGCAATTTTATGCCAATTTATTTTATGAGGCCTTATGCCAAAGGTCCAAATGCTTTGTGTTCCACTGACCATATACATATAGATGACTATCTGAATTGGTGCAGAGAATATTAGAACTGAAATCCAACACAGACAGCCATTTCAATGATAAATTAATGTTTAACCTAGTAAGTGTACCTGGAAATATGCAGAAATATTTTGCTTCCATTAGAAATATTATCAAGATGACTAATGTGATATGACCATAAATATGATAATGATCAATGGATGTACTTCTGCACACAATTTAATAGCAGCTGCTTATCAGTTAACAGATGGTATTATCATTAATTAAAGTCTATGCAGGAAACTCATAATTTTATGTAAATCATATCAAAATATATGTATGTTTGACTTCTTGACTTCATTTTATCAAACATAAAGTGCATTCATGTTGGTTGATAAATTTCTTGAAACCAAAAGCATTGGATCTGATTTGAATTCCATAAATACTTCTTGGAAGGGCTTTTAGCTGAAGATAATTTATTGTCATACAAATCTCATACAAATGCTTTAAAGACCATGCTAGCCAAGGTGTAGAATTTATTGCATGGAACTTTAATTAACCACATTATTTAGAATAGGAATTTTATGATGATGTGCATATGAATTAAGAGAGATCACAATTTTTATTTATACTTATTCTGTTTTTAACTCTTCCTCCTCAAGAAATTTGTGACTTTACATTTGCCCAAGATAGTCTTTTTTTCTAATTTTCTTTGTCATTTAATTTTATAAAAAATATTTTTTAATACTAACTTCAATAAAAAAATGGAATAAAAGAAAATGACTGATTAATTAAAAATTTGACTTGTTGAAAAAAAGGTAATATTAATTTTATTTTCTATATTTTGACTTACTGAGGTCTGACTTCTGAGATTTGAAATGAGTAGTGAAACATTTTTCTGTAGCTCAGTGTCACAGGCATATGTATTTAATTTTTCAGATGGATTTTTTTCTTATGATGTTACATGTCAAATAAGTTCATTCAGTTTTTTAAGTTATATTTTTGAAAATGTTTTTTGTGTACATAAAGATAATTTTAAGCATTGGCATACTAATGCTTCATAGAATAGTTTTGATGATTTTGTGTGATTATTATATGTAGGCTTTTGTAAAAATAACATGCATGTTTTTTAATTGTATTTAATTCATCATATTTATAGTATAAAGAAGATCGAGAGAGGTATAATGAGTTAAGGAAACTAGAATTGGAATATGAAGCTCGGCGTGCTATTCTTGTGAAGTATTTTGGTAATGTCTGAAATTTGTTCTCACAACTTCATAATATATTTATTCCAAATCCATGACAATTATGTTTGCTGTTTCATTCTAGTAATTTTTTGATTAAATTATGTTAGCTATTTATTTTATTTTATTTTATTTTTTTACTAATATTTACTTTTATTCTAGAATCAGTTCGTATTGCACAGCAAGTTCAAGTTGATGAAATCCCTTTACCTGATACTCCAGAGATGCCATTATATCGTAAGAATTGTTTTATTTTCATGCTATTTTGTGTAATTTAAATTTTTATATTGTTATTTTTTGGTATTCTATTAAATTTTTTACTCTTGGTAGTAACATCTCAGATACCACTCCCCAGTGAAATGGAAGTTACACATGAAAATGAAAGCATGATCTTACCACATTCTATTTTAAAGAAAACACCTTTATTTAGGTAAAGTTTTTTTTTCTTTTTTTTTTTCTTGTAAATATTCCTCCTTCAGCTTTTGTTTTTGTATACATTTTAATGTATATTGTTTTTATGTACATCTGTTTTTCCTTCTTTCCCCCTTTATTTACTTATTTATTTTTTTCCTTTTGTACATTTTTAAGTGATTTTAAAAAATGCTATCTGTCATGTATATGCAAGAAAGAAATTTTTTAAAAATATCTTATGGAAGGGAAGAAAGAATTTGACATGCATGGAAAAATGCAAAGAAAAAGACGGAATTAAAGAAACTATAAAAAGGCGAAAGATTTTATAGTGTAAAAGGCAAAAGCTTGGCATAAGTTGGGATCTGTAATTGTATGAATTTTAGAGTTGGTTAATCTTGAATGAAAAATCAATTTAAACAACAGCAGGGGGGGAGTGAGTAAATAGAAATTATTTAAAATTATTTTTTCAACATCTATTTACAATAGTTTGTTTTGAAACTTTAGGGTGTTTGAGTACTTTCAGATTATACTTAATCCTAATCAAACTAATTATATCCTAATCATTCGTAACAATATTGCTGCATTAAATTTTTTTTCACTGTTACTTGCAGGAAAAATTGAGAAATTATTCCTTTTGAAATGGGAAAAAGGATAGTATTTTTATTACTGGTTTTACTAATAAAAGTTAAAAATTTCTGTACTTTTTTAATAAAGGGACAGCAGTCATTGCCAAACGTAAATTTTGCTGGGAAACAGCTTGGGATGACAACTTTAATTATATATATAAAATATATCCCTATTAAAAAATTAATCATAATTATTTGAATAATCTCTTTTACTGTGGATATTTTTTTCACCTCCCAAAGAATTTAATGGTGTCAAATCATAAAATTCACCTTGGTTCCTTTGTTAAAATTTCATATGGGAAATGTCTGTAAATCAAAGCATGTTCTGTTACAATGTTTGGCATAGTTCACAATTTATTTCTGGCATGCTTGTTTGCACATTCTGGCTGCTGCCCAGTGAATAGAAAATTGCCAAATTAACAGCAGTTTTACTTGATTGAAGCAGCAAAGGATTTATATTCAATTATAATCCATGTTCAGCAACTTCTAAAGATATATTTATTTAACTATCATTATAAAAATCAATAGCTTATAATAACATATTTTAGTCTAAATAAAGAAGCATATTGCCAGAATTGGCTAAAGCCATCTGCATTTCCTGTTGACATGTGAGGGACAGTGGAAATTTCAGGGTGATGGCAGTTTTTTGGGCAGCAGATTTTTCAGTTTTATACTGTACATATGTATAATGCATTTATAGGGATTAATGATTAAATTCTAAATTTATTTAATTTGTTCATAAATGGAATGCTTTTTGCAACATATTAAGTGCAGTAAATAAATGTCTTTTCAAGGGAAATAAAAATTCTGTACTATTAACTCAATTTTAGGGAAGTAATTACGAGTAATGTTCGAGCGCCAGGTGTTCCACCAGGTCCCATCCCTGATCTTTCCAGCGATGAGGATGACAATGATGGTATGAAATATGTATTTTTTCTTATAACATGCATCCCAACTTAGATATTGTAAAAATGCAAGTTTTGATAGTTTGAAGCTGTTTGATAGTATAAAATATATTTATTACTTAGATAGCAAAAAAATATTTTGCATTCCTGTTCAGTATTAAAAAAGAATAAAATTAATTGTTTTTAATTTTATATTTCTTTGTGTAAAACTGAAATTCAATAGACTTTAGAAATAACATTAGTTTTAGAAATAATTTGTCTTCAGGTCCTTGATACCAGGATAAACTTCTTATACATCTTTTTTTTTTTTTTTTTTTTTCCAATTGTTTTTAAGTTAGACCTGTGTGCTTTGTTTTTAAACTATTTATTGTATAATTTTTTGCAATTTATATGCAAGTTTATAAGGAATTTTCTCCTTCCACATGCCTTTGTGGTGTAATTGGGAATATGTCTTGTGAATTGTAGTAATTGTGAGTTTCAGAGTACAAATCCTGATGAAGGCATCAGTGATTATTCATGTTTTCTGTCTTTAAGGAACCTAGTGGTACTTAAATTAAATTGTGGTAGCCAATATTTGTCACCACCTGCATTTGGCAAATGAGTTCTGTCCTTCCCAGTCTCGGTGTTAATGGAGTAAAGCGTAAGAAATTTTCTCCTCCCTTACTGCATGTTTTTAATTTGTAACTATAAGCAATTATTAGATAAAAATAACATTTGTCAGTGTGATAAAAATAATTAAAATAATACATTTAAAAACACTAAAGTATGTTCTACAAGCCTAAATTAGATGAAGGAGGACTTATGTAGAAAGTGTTGAGAAGGATCCAGAATTAAATAAAAAGGAGGATTTTATAAAAAAGAAGAAAAGCAAAAGAGTTTTGCATTATCAAACATGAGGAATTCCTTCCCTCAAATTTGCTAAAGTCTCCTGGAACTAAAGACTGAAAATGTTATATGATATAAAAAGGCTTAAACTTGAGATGTTATATCTATTTTAAGTCTTTCCAAAGGTTTATTATTATTTTTTTAAACACTTTTATGTTCAGTTGAAATATGACACCTTAATTTAACAGGCCCCCATTTCACTACTTGCAAGTTCTTTCCACATACAGTGCAGAGAAAAATTGGATGATCTGTATTTATATTCGATGTAAATATGAATTTTAGGGATTCTTCATTGTATAAACAGTTGATATTTTGAGTTGAATTCTTAATTTCTGCAATGTTTTCATTTCTACTAGTACTAGTAGCATTGTCATTATTGATATCAAGATGAAATTTTTTTATGATGAAATTATATGTTACTTGTTAAAAAATACACATGAAAAATTGAAAATTAATTAGTAATATTGTGCAAGACTTACCTATATTTACATTGGCTCGCATTTGTTTTCGGGCATTTGTGTCTTTGAAATTTGTTTTCATAGATCATGTACTAAATATTGCAAGACACACAGAACTCATATTCTTTCTCTGTTTTAAGCCTTGCTTGTTGTAAGTTAAATCTTGCCAAAATATTCCTTGTAGTGAAATAATTTCTTCAGAAAGTGTTAATCAGTAACTCAAATAATAATTTGGGTATTCCAAACTTTTGTTGAGATGTTGTGGTAGACAGTGCTTCTTGCTTTGAATGAAAATACATCAGAAGAATTATTGTCTGCATTTGGAATTTTGTACTTGTTTAGCAAAATATTTGAACAATTCCATGTCTGAACTGAACATGACAAAATGTTACAAATTAATGACCAATTATGTGAGAAATTTAATAATTCTTCTTTTTTAAAAATGGTAAAAGTGTTTGAAATATCTAAAAAATCTTTGGTGTTTGGGTCAAAAGTGTTTAACTATAATAAAACAATGCATACTGCTTGGAAACTGTTGAAAGTGCCCTGCAGTCAGTAGCACATTCCAAGCTAATAAAAGTTAACCCTGAAGCTTACAGAATAATAACTTCAGGCACATGGATACAAGAACCATCAGCAAGAAAGAAATAATTTGTCAAAAAAAAAAAAAAGAAGGGGGGGGTATACTTGGCATTTGCAAAATTCATGATAAGAAAAGTCTTAACATATTGGAACAATGTTATATTTGCAGAAAAATCAAAATTTAATATATTTGGGTCCAATAGATGAACCAGTGGGTGGCAAAATCTGAATTAAGAACTGAATTTGAAAAACCTGTTGGTTTATGTTATGCATGGGGGCTACATGCATGTTGGTTTGGATGATATTTGCTGCATTTCATAAATATATTTAATGAAAACCTGAAAGTGTCTGTGAGAAAACTTTGCAAAATACTGTAAGGTCCCTCACTTGAAATTCTAAGTTAATGTTGGAAGTGAGGAACCTAGGAACTGATAAGCGAATAATCGCTAGAGTTCGAAGACAGGAAACAACAAGAGAGAAGGGTAAATAACCCTTTATTATTTCTATATGATTTAACAAAACTCCGCCTGGGAGTGAACAAATAAAGTCCACACTTTGGACTTGAACTTAAAAGACTAAGAATTAAACTAAAACTAAGATTAACTAAGTATAGCCAAAGCTATCAAGGTTCAATGAGAGTTGGCCCCTTAACTTATTTTACTACGAAGCTTAGCAAGGGCCTGAGTACGGCCGAGTGTAAAACAGCTTTGAGAGAGAGAGCGGCCAAAAAGGCAGACGCGCATAGTTCAGAAACTCCGATTCTCTCTCTGTCTCAGTAAGTAACTTTGGTTTAAATACCGCTTCTTCTCATTAAATATTCAGCAAATTCCAAAACTACGTTCTGGCCGGAAGTAGTAAGTTGAAGTTAAGAATTTGACAGGAAAGGAACTTTAACTTAAAATTTAACTGTTAATAAAATTAACATAATCCTTACTATACATTCAAGTTCGATTGGAGTAATAATCCTTAACATACAGTCCTAAATATTTGCTTGTGATTACGAGACAACTGTTCTGAAGTTTCTCCATATTCTTCAGATTTAAATCCTATGGAATGTGAATGGAGTGAGTTGGAGAAAAAGCATGATAACATATCTTTGAAAGCTCTACTGAAAGCTATTCCTGCAAGAGAATAATACCAAATAAAACATTCTTATGTGAGAAAATTAATTGAATCCATGCCAAAGTGTAATTTTAGATAAAGGATATCAAATGAAATATTGAATGTCCTGTTATTTTCATGTTTTTATTGAATATAAACTGTTTATTCAAAATGTCTGAATACTTTTCTTCCAGATCTTTTTGAATAATTATTTTAAACCAAAATATTTTGAATATATATATTTTTAACAAGCAGGTTTTAAAATAGATGATCTTCTTCTTGTTCTTTGGCTCGGCAAACCAGGGTGGACCTTGGTCTTCTCCAGAAGTCCTGACCAGGCATCTCTGCTTTTGGCAACTGTTTTCCAATTTTTGATTATCAAGAATGTTAGGTCATTTTCAATACAATTGATCCATTCCACCGTGGGGTCTACCATAAGATCTGGTTCCCATAGGCTTTGCCAGAAACACTTTCCTGCGACACCAATCTTCATGCATTCTGGCCGTATGACCAGTCCATTTAAGTTTCTGTAGTCTGAGGAATTTTATTACATGAGGTTGTTCATAGATCTTGTTTAGCTCTAAATTAGGTCTTCCTCTCCACGATCCATTCACATGGATGCCACCAAGTAGGCAATGTGTCCCCCTGATTTTTATATACATTAGATATTTTTGCTGTGAATTTCTTCATTAACAAATAATGATCTGACTCAAAATTCGCTGCACGATATGATCTGACATCCATTATGTCTGAGGCATGTTTGGTGTCATTTAAGACATGGTCATTCTGATTGAAAGTGTCACCAGCTGGAGATTTAAAAATCATTTTTTGAATGCTTTTGTGTAAAGAGCAAGAATGCTTTTGAATGCTTTTGTGTAATCCTGCATAACCTGTGAGACTTGGCTTCAAAATCGATAATAAAATGCCTAATTCTCTTATGAACAATGAAACCTATGCCAGTAATTTCTGCCATCATGACTTCCCTGTCCAATCTATCACATTTCCCGAAGTGTCATTAAGTAAATTTTATAACCATCCATTTTAAAACATCAAGTCCCTTGCTTTTATAAAGTGAATGCAAATTCCAAGTTTCCAATTCTGAGATCCCTAAAATTCCTTCCAAGTCGTCTCCACACAGACAGTTTAGAAAATTCTTCCTTTGATTTTGTAACAGTGGGATTTTTTCTGGGTGAGGTTCATAGCCTCACACCTAACCCCCAACCGCCAACCTGGAAGAGCAGTCCTCTGATATAATTCCCAGGGCTAGGTTACCCATCTTTACCCCAGGACACTGGGTACCTATTTTAGTCACCTTTTGCGACATGTACAGGCTATGCTGCGACTATTCATCCAGTAAATCACCTGGTCACCATGAGTGAAAACAGATGATCAGTAGAAAGAAAAATCGAAGTGATGTTGCTTATATTTAGTAACAGATATTTATAAATAAAACTGAGAAACACAAGTCTCCAAAAACAAGTGTGAGCCAATGTATTTAATTCAGAAATTTGAATGTATATGATTATAGGAAATCAGCAAAATAAACCATATTGGCTGTTCAGAATTCAGATTTGAGCTACATTTGCAGACCAATGTATGACACTGTAAAATTTGAAATAAATAAACTGGCTTACTGGTGGAGAGAAAGTGTTTTTTTTTGGGGGGGGGCAGAACTGCATACCATTGCCAAGCCGAAGCTCATTCAATCTGTGAGCCCTTTTCCCTTTTTTTTCATATTCACCTATGTCCAACATTTTCATTCCAATGATCAAGCTACATCCTTCCCTCACTGGAACACACTAGTGATTGGTCCCTTTCCCTGACATTCATTGTGACATAAGTGTGATTGCTTGGTTTTTCTATACCACTGAATTTAGTATGACATTTTTTGTTAGTCATTTATTATGTTTTTGATAACACATATATAACTAAAAAGTTTTTATTGTCATTTGTATTTGCTGATTACAATTCCATACAGAAATTATTTTACATTGTATTGATTTTTCTGTTGCAACTATTTTTAACTGTATATTTGATTTTTTCGTGGAACACTTGTAATGACTTTGAGGATCAGGTGTTTCCAAAATCACAAATGTAAGTACATGTCATATTAAGGTAAAACCTTAATAAGGCTCATTAAATCAGGTATTATTGTTTAAAAGATAGCTTAAATATAGTTAAATATAAAAATTCTAGAGGTAATGCATATAGCAAATTATGATCTTTAGAGATTAGCATTTTTATGAGATCAAAACCACTTGGACCTCTTGTTTGTACTACATAGTAATGCTGTGTAATTTAAATTGATTGTACCAACCTGCGTCAGTGATATAACTTTGAAAATTTTTTTTAATCAGCTGTCAATGCTAGTTTGTCACAAGATAGCAAAACTAGACTTTTCATTTAATAATTAACACATAACAGACTTTTTAATCCATGAGTAGGGATAAAAAATATTTTAAATAAAAGTAATTTTTTATATGCATTCTTTAATTTGTTTGTCATCTATGTTTTATATTTAAATTTTTATCTGAAAAAATATTACATAACACAAAAAGTATATTTCTCATAATAAATAATGCATTTTAACAGCATTTTTTTGTTATTGTTATAATAATCCAAGGATTCTAAAAACTATTCTTGAATCAACCTCTATTAAAAAATGGTTTTCTTTATCAATGCCTATATATTTTTCTCTATATGCATAAAACTATCATAATACGAATAATTTGACACATATGAATTAAAGATAACAATTAGACTAAAGATATGAACTATAGTTTTTAAAAAATGGTTTATTAGATTTGTGTTATATTATTTTTTGTGTTATTACTACTTTTTATTTTGCAAATAAAAATCAATTTCCAGAAACAAAATTGCAGATTCTTATAGCATAAAAGTTTGATTTGAATTAATAATATAATGGCTGTGCTTTTGATGTATTGATGCAATTTTTTTTTTTTTTTTTATCTTTGGCATAAAATTTAATTTCTTAAATTAAAGTAAAATCCTGTGTGTTTAATTTAATTCTTAAATTACCTTGTTAAAAAATATTCAATCTGTTTCTTGTTTTCCGCTTAAAATTACTAGCTTGACTAAAGTCTGCTTATTCTAGGTATAAAGAGGGCAAAGTTCAGTTGGTTTAGTATTTTATATGATTTCTTACTTACTGCATAATAGAACTTTATATCAATGAGCAATTAATTATAAATTTTATTAATATATATTTTTTTAATCAACAGGATCTTGATTATGCCGATCAATTGCTGATGAACCTTCCTCTTTCGACCCTCAGTTGACCTTTTGATCATCATTGTCCCTTTAAAATTTTATCAACCTCCTTTGCTAATCTAATAAAATACTGACCCCATTGGGAATCCTTGCATTATAATCAAGACATTTAAAAATAATGTTATTTAGATTTCTGAAAAATATTGTGTTTGGCAGAAATCTTGTTGTGAAATTCAAGCATGGTCAAGTTTTTTTCAAATGGTTAAAACCCTTGTACAATTGGTTCTGTCTCTTACATGTTCTGAAAAGTTGTTTTATTTGGTACGTGGCCTAATACAATACCAATGAAAATTTTTCACATCTTCGATTTCTTTTCTGTTTAAACAGCCTTGCCATATAATGGTTATTGATTTTGTACATTTCTATACTACTCTGATTATACTTGTATTTATTAAATTATAAAATTATTTTATCATACTGTTCAATAGGTTTTTATTTTATGTTTTTAAGATGCATGGGAACCAGAAGGTGAAACAGAAATTTCTAACCAAGCTGATAAATCTGGTAAATTAATTTAGCTTTTGGTTTTGTAAATATTATTTATTTTTTAATTGCGTCTTATATTCTAGATTGTTTGTTTTCAGGTAAAGGAAGGAAAATACGTTTTGCTGATGAAAAGGCTTCCGAGTCTGTATTTGAAAGTAATGAAACAAGAAAAGAAGAGAAAAAGGTAATAATGTACATGCTAAATGAAAATAATATTTAAGTTGCTTCTTAATTTATAGCTGTCATTTTTATTAATGAAATTTTCATCAATTAAAAAATTGAGTACACAACTAAATAGTATATTTCAAAGCAACTGAAAATACATAATCCATATATTATGAATTAAATTTAGTTTTTCCCTTTCTTTTGAAATGTAACTTAGTTCAAATAGTTTGTTTCCTTTTAAATATTTTTACCCTTATACGTATAGAGAATTTTATATTTGCTTTATATGAATAGAGAACATTTGTTAAATTCAAATTTCATTCCTTGCAGCAATGGTGCAAGAGAATTATTTTAATTTAACTTTACTATTTTCTTGTGAAACAATTTTGTTAGTATTTAGCAGCTTTTAGCTCTAATGACCTTGTTTAATTTTACTTTTTTCAAATATAGCTTAGTTCAAATAGTTTGTTTCCTTTTAAATATTTTTACACTTATACAAATAGAGAATTTTATATTTGCTTTATACAAATAGAGAATATTTGTTAAATTCAAATATGGGAGAAAAATAATACTTCAGGTATTTTTAATTGTTTTTGCTTTACAAGAATTCTTAAAATGTTGTTATTATTCGTAATATTCTTCTTTGCTGTATAAATATTCTTAGGAATACAAGTATTTTTAAAGTGAACTATTTTGCATAATATTCCATTTTAAGAATACATGTATAATAAAGTAATTTTTTAATTACTTTATTAATTTATAAATTATTTTATTATTTAATTACATTATTAATTTTATTAATTTTTTTATTATTACTTTTTAATTTTATTACTTTATTAATTTACTAATATTTTAATTTTTATTGTTTTACTTTAATAATTAAATGAATAATAATTTGATATTTTGCAATAAGTTAAAATGTCAAAATAGTAATTTATCTTGAAAAATATTGTAATATTGCTATTGCTTCTGAAATTTGCAATTTGGTTTGTTTTAATTTGTGACTAAAATGTTCTTCAACTTTTCTAGAGCATGATACTTGAAAGTATGAAAATATTTCCACAATAACAAAAGTGTATATAGAACTTAAATATTTATTTAATAACATTATAAGCATGTTAAAGAATTCAGTTTTTGCCCAAAAATTCAGAATTTAATTTATTAAATGATGTCTGAGTTTGAACATTGATAACATTTTTACTTGGAAGTTTCTTCTTAGTATTTGATTATGAACTTTCATTGTTTATTGCTATAAGTTATTAAAATCCTAAAACAATGATTCTGAAAAAATTAAATATTTCAGGTGACTAAATTATGTGTTAAGAAATTTCAGAATTATTTTGCATTTTTTATATTTTTTTTATTTATAAATATTATTTCCAACTTCTCTCTCTTTTTTATGGTCTGTAAAATTATTTCTTTAAAAATGTGTGAAAATTCTAATTATTTGAAAAGGGAAAAGACCTTGAGCCCATGGATACATTAGATGACACTGAGGCTACAGACGATACTGAAAAACAAAAAATAGAAGATATACCCATACCTCCCATGCCTCATTCAACACCATTACCTTCTGGTCCTCCACCTCGATTGCCTCAAGGTTAGTTAATAATTTTTCACTGGATTATAGATATAGAAATAGGTGCATACTAACTTTATATTATCAAAGTGGTCATCATTGCATGATATGTTACATTTACATTTTTTAGCTGCAGCTGTTTTTCCTCTTTACTAATTCTTTTATCCTAAATGTGAATTTTTTTTTCTGTAAGATTTAGAAAAAAGGGGGGTATGCTGAAATTATGATATTTTGCTGTTGCCACAGTAGTCTAAAATAATTCATGTTCAGTAAAATACTGGAAGTACAGGTTTGTATTATTGCTCAGAATTCCAGAATCGCTTGTCATTAATATGTACAGTTGCTGAAAGAGATTGTGAATTGAACATATGTTTCCATTTGGTTCCATAAATTCTTAACTGTGATTCACTGTGGTACATGCAGATGCTATACTTTCTTAAGAGCATATGCTTCTTTAAGTACTTTATAACTCAGAAATGATGAGGATAATAATGTTGCTTATCCCGGGTTCTGGCATTAGCCATGGCTAACCTATGTCTCATGAATTCTGGAGAGTGCATTTTCATTTGTCATTGGTTATAGATTTTAAGCCTCAGTAGTGGAAGTATAACATTTTGAATTTCATGTTTAATTTTGCTGAAGAATGCTTCAGACAGAGTCTTAATATCCTTTTCATATGTCATTAGTCTGTTCAGAAGAGTTTCAAAGCAAATAAATTTTTAAATATCTCTTATTTATAGACACATTACTAAGTGTTCATCTCCTGCCAGTAATTTATATCAATTCAAATTGGGATGGGCGTTGGCTCCACTGATATTCAGTGCTGAAAGATTGCATTTCGATGTTCTGAAAGAACTTAGAGAACTTAATTTGCAAATTTATGTAATGTATGCTGTATACATCTTTGACATTTGTGTGATAGTGTAAAAATTGTATTGCAATTTCACAAAGTTCATATATATACTAGATCATATATTTTCAGTACTTACAATAATACTGTATAAATTATTTGTAATGATAAATCAAAGAGCACAACATAAATATCAGCTACCTTTTTTTCCAAATATTAAAAGGTTATGAATATATTAATATTAAATTCTTACTTATTTCAAAAAAATTATTTGTTTTTCATCAGAATAATCTTTGTATTTTTTCTGTTAAAGCTATACCAGTCGCTTTATATATATATATATATATATATATATAAAGGTTTTAGCATATTTCCTTGATGTTCAGTGTAATGAATTTGGTTTGCTTTCTTCATGGCTGTAATTGTTATTATAATGATTACTCATATGACCTCATTTTTTCATGTAATCAAGTGAGAAGTTCCTCAGATTGTGTGCGAATAACCGCCACATGAAATTTAAATGTGACTCAAAGGTGAAATAACTGTACAACCTCCAGTTATGCTGGGGTGAATGGTGTCCAGTCACAGACATAGTTTGCTGGAGCTTGCATATCTTTCATTACTTCTCTCTTTATTTATTTATGATATCAGGAATGAATATCTACTGAGTTTTGTGAACCAAAGTTTACTACAGATGAATCACATTATGACTGTTGTTTGGAAATATTACATGAGAAAGGCATTTGTGAATATCTTAATATCTTGCCTTAATGTTAAAATTGATGATTGCAGCAAAATTGTGGAAATTAATAAAAACTTGTTCACAAACAGAACAAATTTGATGTATACCTCATGACTTTCTTGTACAGAGTATTAAATTATATGCAATTTTTCTGCATTTCATTTAAACATATTGAATTAACAGTTAACGAATTTTGAATTAAATCTACTTCGTCGATAGTGCATGAACCACAATAGAATAAAGACACTCTTTCAAGTTCAATATATTTATTTACCATAGCAACACTTTGGTGCTAGATTGACTTAACAGCATTACATCTCATTCATTTTATAACTCAGAGTGCACAAAAATTGTATCATCTGAAGAATTACCACATTTTTTATTCAAATACTATAATAAATCTAAAGCGATGTGTAAAAGAAATTAAACAAATAAAAAAGAACAGTTTTTCACAAACAATTCAGCACCGCTTACCTAATGCGTATGTGCTCCTAACTAATTCAGTTCTCACTTCGCGGCAAGGCAAAAGTACATGAGAATTCAAAATACTTTCATTAAAAATTGAAAGATATAGAAAAACATGAAACAGCAAGCACAGTTAAAACAATTAAAAAAAAGAATTTTTACAATTAAAATTAGAGTTTCTATGCAAAAACAAGCTAATAACTTAAATGATATTTCCAGATTGAATTAAGCAATTCGTAATAATAATAAAGGAGACATTACTTGTTGTGAAGCTTAGTGTCTCTAGATTGGCAACAAATCCACTATTCTGCTGTTTCAAGTGTAAACAAATATAGCTGCAAATCTAATCAAAAAGTAGGCTTAGCTGCACTTAAAAACTTTTGCTGATAATTCCACAATTATCGCATGCAGGTTAAGTAAAGGCATAAAAACCTTAACCGGAAGATAAGAACAATCATATAATTCAATCATGTTTAAAGCAAAAAATGCACAATTTACAAACATATAAGAATAAAGAAACTGAGCTCACTGAGAGTAAAAGAGTGGATTTTGGTCTGGCCGACTGCAACCAAAATGATACATGTTTATAGCAGTCCTATATATAAAATTTCAACGTTCTGAGGCTACTCGGTTTTGAGTTATGCAAGATACATATATACAAAATATCTCTTCAGAATTAATTTAAAATCAGTTTTATAATGTTTTTGGGGAAATAGAGTCCTTTATTCTGTCCTTACATACAGATGTCATGCAAAAGCATTGTTAAATTGTATTTGGTAGCGGTCAAAATGAGTATTATCTTTGAAATATGATACCGAAATTTTTCGCGATTACAGTACTTCCTTTTTACTTCGTACAAGGAAGTAAAAACATCAGCAAGTAGTGTTTTGGGGGATTTGTGTTGCTCTATTTCATTTAGTAGCAAAGCAGAAGCATGAGGAAAGGATGAACCAAAAATGTAATGACAGGTTTTAATGGAAAACCATATAGTTTGCATTTAAATTATGAAAATCAACATACCTGTAACTACGTTTCACCCACTGATAAGAAGTTTTACTGTATTTTGTTTAATCTTGAAATAAGTTTATTTTAGTTTAATGTAAAAGTTGCAAAAGTCTGATATCATAATTTTTATAGTATTACTAGTTTCAACATTCTGTGTCATTGGATATGCTGTTATTGTTTGCGTCTTATTGTCAGAGGCAGTATAAAATTCCCAAAAGTAATTTTACATTTCAAGTTTTATTTCGAAGAAGCATTTTATATTTATTTACATACAATTAATTTCTTTCCATTCAGTATGTTTTTGATTTTTAATCTTTTCAAAAATTGTAGGTCCTCCTCCTAGTGTCCAGGTGATGTTTAGGCCTCCTCCTTTAAGAGCCAGTATACCTCCTCCTCCTCGTATGCTGCCTCCTGGTGTACCTCCACCTCCTCCAGGGAGACCCACCTTACCACCTCCTGGTCTACCTATACGACTAGGAGCTCCACCAATCCGTTTGCCACCAGGTCCACCTCCAGGTAAAATCTTATTTTATTTCTTTTAAATTTGTCATTAAAATTTTATTAATAATATATATGTATATTTCTTATATTTTATGCTCATTGTCAAAAATCTTTTTATATTGTTATTATTGTTAACAGTATAAAGCTTACAATATTATTATTATAAACAATATAAAGTTATAAATGCCTTTATTTAACTGATTATCAAAATGTCATTACTTAACTGAGGTCTAAATACCTTTATTTAACTGATTCTTGTAGGAGAATATATATATGAATTTAACAAACATTCTCTGTTCGTAAAAAGCAAATTAAAGTTAATAAATATAAATGAAATTTAACGCAAACAAATAAATGATTGATTTTTGTTGCAAACTAATCTACAATATCATTTAAATTCTGAGAGCATATGTAAATCAAGTGCAAGTATCAAAATCCATTAATAAATATAAAATTCCAAAAATGATTCAATCCTAAAAAATTTATTTATAAAAATGCATAAGTGAATGATTGTTGAGCAGGCAGGAGACAGACTTATCAAGGGAAAGTTGCCTCCAAACCTAACAATCATTCAATTTGTGCTTCGTCATCCATGTAGGCAAGGGTAAAAGTCAAAACCAAAAGTAATACCAAATGTGGTGAATTACTAAAAAGAAATTTAAACAAGTGGAATTTCGAGAAATTAGCAATTAAAAGACCAGAATTAAAATTAAAAAATAATAAATAAGAGTAGAAAACCAAATTTTCGGAAAACCAAAGCATTTTAGAAACTCTTTCCTACAGAAACTTCCCTGACACGAATTATAAATATAAATAAATAAATAAATACAAACTAGACATTATCTATAAAAAATAATAAATTATACTTAAATAATACTAAAAAGGCAAGGAAATAGTAAGTTTTAGTTTAACTTACCAACTATATTTGTTTTTGGGGAGTGGAGAAGCATTGCCAAACTAAGTGATGTTAAGTAGTGTGTTCTGCAAACTTTAAATAGAGGGCACTAATGTAAGGTTGAGTGTAAGGCATATCTGTGATCAATTTAAAAAACCTATTCTGTAAACTTTTAAGTAATGTAAAATGTGTGTTCTGTTTTAAAAATGTGTAAAAATATTGTAAAATGCAAACTGTAATGTTATGTGAAAAAATATTGTGCAAAGAGTTTTTAGCTAACAAGGCCTACAGCAGTGGTTGGTAAACTCAGGAATGTGCACTGTATGTGGCATGGGGAACTATCTTTAATAGCAAGCAAAACGATTTAAAAAAAAAAAAAAAAGTGTAAAATTTCTAAGTGTCAGGGGTATTTATTAATTTGAAGAAATGTGGCAACAGACATCCACAATGTCATAAACACATTTTTCTATGTCAAAATATTTGGGGTTAATAACTGTACAGCTTTCAAACATTGCAAGTTACTATATGCTGTTTGCAGGCAACAGTTTGGAAATGCTTGTTTTTAAGAAAGTTAGTCTGATGCAGTGTGACTCATGAGTACAATGACAGAGAGGAATCTGAGTTTCAGTCTTCTAATGAGCATTTTCTTGTGTCGGTTTAAAAGCACCCAGATGTATGCTAAAAAACCAAAATTAGATGCTCATTTTTTTTAAAGCTTTCTGGACTAGTGAGTACGCATTTATACAGCAATTTCCCCCCCCCTTCTTCTCTGGATTGTGAAAGTGTAACATTTCTGCTTTCCAGTGTCACTGATGACAAAACCAGTGATGTGAATGATGTGTCGTAGTTGCTGTAGTGGCTTGTCGACTGAGTTTAAGATGAACTGGGCTTCTTAATCCCACTTCATGCTACAATTATGGAGAGGACACTGCTTTCATGTTTCTTAATTGCTTACAAGAGCAAAATATTGATGTTAAAAATTATTTTGTGTTACCACTAATGGAGCTTCTGGTTTAGTTTGCACTAAAAATTGTTTTGTAAACCTTTAATTCAGGTGTTTTAATTGCTAATTTCTCAAAATTCCACTTGTTTAAAATAACTTTGGTTTTCTACTCTTATTTATTATTTTAAAATTTTAATCCTGGTCTTTTAATTGCTAATTTCTCAAAATTCCACTTGTTTAAATTTCTTTTTAGTAATTCACCACATTTGGTATTACTTTTGGTTTTGATTTTTGATTTTACCCTTGTCTACATGGATGACAAAACACGAATGATTTGGAGGCAACTTTCCCTTGATAAATCTGTCTCCTGCCTGCTGAACAATCATTCACTTATGCATTTTTATAAATAAATTTTTTAGGATTAAATAATTTTTTGGAATTTTATATTTATTAATGGATTTTGATACTTGAACTTGATTTACATATGCTCTCAGAATTTAAATGATATTGTAGATTAGTTTGCAACAATAATTAATCATTTATTTGTTTGTATTAAATTTCATTTAACTTTATTAACTTTAATTTGCTTTTTACGAACAGAGAATGTTTGTTAAATTTAAATTTCATTCCTTGCAGCAATTTTGCAAGATAATTATTTAAAATTAAATTTAACTTTATTTTATTCTTTTGAAGCATAAGTTAATAAAATATAATTTAATTTATTAATAGCTTCTTAATTCCTCATTTTTAATTTGGGTATTTAGTTTCTTTATTCTAAAAACAACAGCATCTCTGGACAGCATTATTTCTGGATGAATCTATGCCAGAGATTGCATAATGTTGATGTAGTTATTTGGGAATCTAAATTCTTGAGAACTGAAACCTTTCTAATGTAAACTAAAATCTTTCTCTTAACAGACTGCCATATTGGATAAATGCATACTTTTAGCTTCTTCCTCTGTGCAGCTTAGATGTCACTGTGCTCTTCCTGTTGCAATAGTATTCAAAAATGTAAATGTTCTTGAATGTGCTAATTAGAGTGACAAATGATTTGTGGGCACAATGTGAATTTAAATAAAAATGGAATTTAATCCAGTTCTACTTCTTCCTCTTCAATATGGGTCTTAGAAGATGAGGAAATGTGGCAACTGTTGCTGAATCTGTGTCCAGAATAACATTATCAGTTTGTAAACTGAAAGATGTTTTTACCTTAGACACAAGTTTGGAAAGGAGTTCTGCAGCACACAACTCCAGATAAGGAATGGTTATTACTTTAATAGGTGATACCTGAGATATGCTGCAAAGCAAAGTCACTTTCACTTCGCCAGTTTCAGACATACAGTGCAAATAAATATCCTCACTATATCGCACCTTCAAAGCATCAGCTAAACAGTGGAGCTCAATATCTTTAATTGATTCTATTAGAATGTAACGAGGAACTTTGATTTATCTTAAGTCTGGTAAGGCATTTTGAAATGTCTTTCACTCTTGTTGCTCCTGGAAAGGAAGTGGATCATCCCAGTCTAGATGTAAAAGCCACAGCTTTTGCAGAAACTCTTAGCACACATGATTGCAGGTTCCAGAAAACCTAAAGGATGAAACAGTTTAGCAGTTTCTGCTAAAACTGAATGCTAAGTACAGATGTTAGATGAACTATACACAATAAAATTAAAAGAGTCTTGTTCTGGATTCCATCTTAAACCTAGAGTCTTTATGGTGCTTTGTGAAGATATCTCAAAGTGATACTCTTTTTTGTTTTTCGAATGAAACATGTCCTAAAAGAATTCTTTTGTTTGAGCACCACTTGTGCAATTCCATTTTTGAAGATTGTAGCATGGCTATTAACTATTGTTGCAATTCTACAACAGAGGTGACATCCTTAGGTGATACACAATATCATAAAAATCGTTGAGTGTAATTTCAGAATACTTATTTTCATCTATCGGTAGTTGCCTCAAAATCCTTGTTGCTAAAAAAGACACTGATTTTGTTCCATATGTTACAGTAAGTAATTGATAAAGTTTTGCATGCATCATTCAACATTTTTTTTTTTTTTCAAAGGATTCATTGAAGTTTGCTCGCCTCAGGATCTATAAGAATCTGCTGATACATTTTGCATATATTAGCAATGAAAGCTACCTTGTGTTTTCTAAATCATAGCAGGATAGAGAACAGATCATCATGCACCAACAGTGCAGGATTTACATATAAGCTACACAAGCTATAGCTTAGGGCCCCTGTTTTCTTGGGGGCCCCTCAAAAAACTCTCTAAGTATCCAAAAAATCATATTTGGCACTGACATATAATATCTGGACTTGCACTGGTGTGCAAAACTTAAGCAAAAGGTGTTCTTTTTGCCATAACTCCACAAAAATTATCTGAGAGACATGAAATTCAAAAATTAGAGACAGCATTTTGTATTTAAGCGATGATGAAAGCATGGTTGTGCAAAAATGAATACAGTGTGTGCAGTATGGAGTCAAGCAACAAAAGGCTTTATGGAACTCATAGCATCCTTACACATGATTGTCTGTATAAGAGGAAGAACAACAAGCAAATGTTCCTTAGTATGGGATATGCCCTCCCCTTACTACAATGGTTACTTCACCCTGTCTCTCCATACTCAGCACCAGATTGTCTAACAGGTCATGAGATAAGAGTGCCCATTCCTCAATCAGCATTTGTTTTAGTTTGTTGTGTGTTCCTCGGAGGACGTAATTGTACCCAAAAGCATCCCACACTTGTTCTATGGGATTTAAATCAGGGGAGTATGCTGGCCAATCCATTTGAGTGTTATCTTCACTTTCCAGTAGTTTCTGAACTGCAGGAGTCTGGTGTGGCCATGCATTGTCATCCATAAAAACAGTCTGCTCCAGTGGCACTTCAGAACAGATGCACATGGGGAAAGATCACCTCCTGACAACAGCGATTTCCAGTTACAGAACCTCTGTCAAAAACAGGGTGCTCTGTCCACCCATGCAGCATAATGCCTCTCCAGATGAGAACTCCAGGACCACCGTAATGGTCTCTTTCCGTGGTGTTACTAGGATGAAACTGTGTCCCGACCTCTCTCCAAATCAACTGGTGTTTAGAATCTCTTGTAGCATTAAAACGACTCTGATCCATAAAGAGGACACTACTCCATTGATGAGATGCCCAGGTTTGTGCTCCTTGCACCACTCTAAATGGTGCCGCCGATAGCTAACTTTCAAAGGGAGGCAGCGGGCGAATAGGCCACATTTGTGAAGGTGTCTGGACACAGTAAATTGCAACATTTGTTGCCCCGTTGCTGTACACATTTGTTGAACTTTGCAGTTTGGTGACTGTTTTGGGCTTTTTCGTCTGCAGGATGATATATTGGTCATCCGCTGCAGTTTTCTTTGGGCGACAACCACCAACCTTTCTAACAGCCGTACCAATTTGTAAGGCTTTTCAAGTGCACGAAATGACACTTTTGTTGATTCCGAACTCTTCAGCTACGCTGGTCACTCTACACCCCTCCTCCAGCTTTCCGATCATTCTTCCAGGTGTGAAGTCATCCAGGTGATTTTTTTCTAGCCATATTTCACGAAAGAATTCACTTGTACTTGAAATGAATGTCTTTAATTGCGTCTTCGTTCTTCCTTTTGTTGTAGTCATAAGTTGACCGTGCCTAGCGCACACATTTTGGATTCGCTTACATCGCCTGTGACGTTTTCTTCCTGATATTTGCGTACTCATGACCTTTTTACTGAATTGCGTGTTCATTGTACTTATCTGCAGTTTCATGGCTATGTGATTAAAATTTACATTGTTGCTTAAGTTTTGCACACCAGTGTATAAAGGGCACCATATCTCGAATAACTCAGGGCCTTATCAAGTCTAAATTTGGCCCAGTGCACCACACCTTCATTCATCAAACAGTTGTTTAGGGAAAAATCAGACGATGAAGGAGCCGAAGCTTTGAATACTATGCATGACTTAGTTGTTCTGCTCTTTGCTCTATAAACACCATGGTGGGGCATTATGTATTTAGAAATTTCAGACACAGTCTGCATTTTTTGCATATGCTCTAATGCATCATGAATTCACAGTACATCTTAGAAATGTCAGGAGTTTTGTCTAGTCTCTTCCATAAATTATCTAACCATTGTGTGGCCAGTTGCGAAGAGTCGCCCAATTGTACATCTTGCTTTATTGGTAGAGTCTTTAACATATCTACCCGTGATAACCCGATGATGTGTTTTCACAAAATGATCCTCACATACTACTTATTATTTCTTATTGAGAGAGATTCTGTAACAGCTTCAATTTCCAAAAAAGATTTAATTAGTGAATATAAGTCTTCTTTGAATTTCATAAATCTGCACCGAATCATATTGTCTGAATTTGAACCAAAATTTACACTGTTAGCAATGTATCTATGTATGGAATTTTGAAAAGTTAAATTCAAATTTCATGGATGAATTTGATCAGCTTTTAAAAGCTCATAAAAACATTCTTGTCCTAAAAAGGCATCTATTTTCTGTGGTTTATTGAAATGAGGATCTGCTTGTTTAATGTTTTGAAGAAGCTGTGAAAATGAAAAACTAAAATAATTCACTAGTACTAAATCCTTAATTTTAGTTACAACAAAGAATTCAAGAGCTCTGTGCTAATCACGCTTGTTTGATATCACAGCAGTGAGCTTGGATTTTACCGATAAAGCCATTCCATTTAAACATAAAACTGATATGTTATTATTCCTTTTTATTCCAAGTTTATTAGTGAAATCTTAGGTGAAGGAAGAACACTGACTTCCACTGTCAAGAAAGGTTCGACATGCAATAAAATTTCCGCAAGAATCTTTAACATAAATAATAGCAGTAGATAACAATACTTCACTTCATTTTGATGTTAACAATTAAAAACATATATTTTTATCTATTTAATAATTTAATGGAGGCATTGCATTTTGTTTTTCTTTAGTAAGTTAATTTAGGCGAGTAAGCAAGGACTCTGTTTCTTAAAAGTGATGTCTTCGTGGAAGATTTTTTTAGGGAAAATGCCAAAAACTCTATGCAACTAACCCACTTTCTAGAAACTGAACTAAGCACAACTACTAGCATTAAATTGTTTTATCAACTTAATTTAAAGTGGGGTCTCATTCTTGTATTACAAATGGAATAGCCTACAAAGTGTTGATAAATAACTGATTATGGCACAACCCATGAAGTCTTGTCTTGAAACTGTGCAGTGATAACTCAGTTGGGAAATACTGTTAGAGAAACTGGATTATATTTAGATTTATACTGAAGTTTGCTATGTAAATCCCTAGACAGTTAGCTCATTTCATTAGGTAACTAACTGTTGGGAAGAGGCTTCACATTGCTGTCTAAATCTGAATTAATTGAAACATAAGTAATTTTATTTAAGTATCGAATAATTAAAATTAGTATAAAAATTCGAGTTCAAAATTTGTATCCAGAATTTTTCTTTTAATTAAAATTTTCTTCATAGTTTTCTCGTTGTAGATATATAATTTTTACCGCTATTTTACATCTGACTCTTAAGCACATTTTATAAAAATAAATATATAATAATAATATAGTTTTAACATTTGCCAACTAAATATTTGTTAAAAATATTTTAGGCATGCCTCCTCCAAGACTTTTGAGACCACCTACAGCTCCACCACCTCGATTACCAGCGACTCCATCATCTACTCCTGTTCTTCCTCCTAGTACAACTGCAAATACAACTACAACAGCTGCAACAACACCCAGTGTGACTGTGCTTAGTGCACCACCTAGTTTAATGCAGCGGCCTAAAGTTTTAGCAACAGAAGAAGAGACACAAAGATCAGCAACAATAGAAGCCAAACCCCAAATTAGAAATCTGAGTGCTGATGTTATGAGGTTCATGCCAACTACATTAAGAGTAAAGAGGGAAGATCGACATAAGAAAGGAGGATCTAAAATTGGAGCAACTTGTAAGATTTCTCATATTTATTTGATGATGATATTTGTGTATGAATAGTAATTAAACTTTTTAGGCAATTCCTTCTGTTAATTAATTAATATTATTGTGTAATGAATCTGTACTGTATTGATAGGTTATTTAAATTCACATTAGTTTTCAATATTATTACTGTACATTTATTTGTTTACACAAATAAACTTTCTAGATTGTATTGTATGATGAAAACTGAATTCATTAGAGTTGCCATGCTATCTGGAAAACCTGAAAAACCGGGAAGAGTCGGGGAAATTGAGGGCCAACGTTGGAAGCAATTACTTTTTTGGCAAATTGTGTATGGTTTGACTGTCATTAGAGCATGAGATATGAGGGATGCAGCCCGACCCTCCTGGCAGACTTTATGTTGCCCTATGACCTTTTTGCGGGCTGCGCCAAAACTATCATTAGGGCAGCTCTGAGCCCTATATCACGTATCCTTCGGGCGGCTGGCATGGAGCCAATTTTTGCAGTGCCAATCAGATTGTCTTTCAGACTAGCAGAGCAAGTTTGCAGCATCTTTGTTTCCAGTAACCCCCTGAATATGTTATGGGCAGCTGGTGTAGAGCCAGTTTTTGTAGTGCCAGTCAGATAATTTTTTTCAAGTATAGTCAAAGCAAGTTTCCAGTATCTTTTTTTCCTATACTGGATTTTATTTTTGATAATTAGCATTCATTTGCTGTATCTTTTTATTAAAAACAATTATTTTTTCAGCGTACTATGGAAGAAGCTATTTTATGTACCCAAATATAGAATGAACTAGGAAATTAATGACTGAACTATAGAACTTCAGTAATTCATAGAAACAAATATATTTTCAGTTTTTAAATCTTTGGCAAGTTTACTGTCTGTTTCTAAAATATGTAATAATATGTATGTTCAAACTGTAGAGAAAAAATAATTTTTTGAACAAAAAAGGTATCTTTAAAATTTATTAGGGCATATCAAAGTCTTTCATGTATCATTATTGTTTTTGCATACAAAGGATTATAACTGTTTATTTTATACAATGGCTGAATTTTCATTATGTAGCTAGGCAGAATTCCAGAATGTAGTCAGAATCAAACAAAGCCATATTTGGAACATTCTTTACATTTAATATATATGAGCTATAATAATAACTCGAGTTTTCTCTCTGGACTAGATACACATGTCCGTCATCTGAAACCCAAAGTTATCAGATTAATTAAAGAAAAGGAGATAAGTACTAAACCCAGTTAATAAGTTATGAAATGCAGCAAGTTGTTATTTCAAAAGCTTATGAGTTTCTTCATTACTCCTTCATATAATTCACTGAAAATTTCTTTAAGGACAGTTTGAAATAGTTCAGTAACTGGCTTAGTCATAATTAGTACGTGCAAGGTCTTATAGAAGACCTTTTTTTTTAAGTAGTGCAGTTTGAGAGATGTATGCTATTTTATTATACATTATAGCTAAAATGTTGTATGATGTGTCTCATTATTAAGATTTTCTATAAAAAACATGCAGCTCTGATCCTGTAGTAAAAGATTTTGGGTCGATTACTAGCTTTTAATAAAGGTCATTATATCTGCCAAGCTTTCTATTCAGAAAACAAATATTTTCAAAATTATAGGGGTGATGAGCAGCATGATATGTTTGCACTTCTTTTATAAAATAATAAGTATACACTCTATCATACAGCAAAAGGATGTGCAAAAAATTCTTCAGATTTGCTAGAGAATAAAGTTTTTGTATATATTGCTGTTAAATTTCAAAGATAGATGAATTTTAAGAATAAGAATTTTTAGCACTTATCTATTTTCTCAGCCTCTTAGAAGTCACCAAATTTTCCGAATATGACAAATATGCATATAAACATTCTTCAGGCCAGCAATCTTTCAGTCAAGCAAAGTCACCAATTTCTATTCGTTCTTTTTATTATATTCCAAGCTCTATTAATTTTTGTAGACAAATCATGATATTTTTTGCCTTAAACTCAATTATAAAATATTGCTCGTGTAATTTGTCAGCAATGGAAGAAACTGCATTAAAATTGCTGTACGAATACATTATTTTGCCAAAAAATCTCTAAAGAGAACAATGATGAGATGCATCTTGTAGATAACTTGTGTGCAGTACCAAGTTTGTGCAGTTTTAAGTGAAACTGGATCACTGTGTGCATGGGGAGAAGAAAGGTCTAAGAAATAGAGAAGGGATTTGCGAAAAATGTAATTGTCTTATTTTTTATATACCATAGAATTCTTATTTAATAATTAAAATTTGTGTTTAATATTTTTAAAGTGTGTTTGCTTTTGATATGTGTATAATATTTCCTGAATTATGATAAATATTGATATTTTGAAAATGTTTCTTAAAGAAAATTGTGAAATTTGCTAACTTGCACCAATAAGTAATTTTTACCTTTTTATCTATAAAAAATCACTAGATTGCACCAAGGTAGTTGTGTTAATATGTAAGTACCAACTATTCAGTCAATTCCAACATTTGCCAATATCAAGTAATAAAAATTCAAGTTGTCTTCTGATTAAATTTTGGGATTTTTATCAATATATAGTGGTAATTGCTGAGATTCACATATGTAAGTTAATTCAAAATAATTTTTAATGAGTTGTTACATACCTAGATCACCCTACAAGGTGTAGCCAGTAATATAACTCACCCTACAAGTGTAGCGAGTACTGTAACTTCAGAGGAGGGGAACTTTGTCTTGCATGAGGGTTGAACTCGCACCAAAAGTTTCAATCTGTTCTAATCTCTGTATCATTTGTGGTTAAAAATTCAGTTTATTTGCGGTATATTAAATAATTTCTAAGCAGTGATAAGTTACATTTCCCTTCTTAATGTATATTAGTAAAATTTTACTATAATAATAAGTAGCATTACTCATACATAAGCTAATCAATAATTTTTTACATTTACCAATAACGGTTGGTAAGAACTATATATTGCTTTGTATTTTGGATTTTAATTGTTTAATAATTGATTAAATTTGGAATTTACCAGTAACATATAATGAGATAATGAAATTTACCAGTAGCATATAATGAGATAATGAATCTATATCTTTTGAAGGATATGAAATGTTAAAGTTCATTTTAATTACCACAAACTATTTAATAAAAATATTTGACTAATTACAATAAAACTAGCTAGTGAACTAATAAACATAATATTAATTGATCTGTGTAGAAGTTATGTCAGAATCAAGTTTGAGGTTCTAAAATAAGCATAAAGGTGTAAAATTTCACTAAAAAAACTACAATTTTTAGAAGAGAATAATCAGCTTAAAATCACAAATTTATAACTTTTCTGCTGAATATGTTGTCATATGTATGAGATATTTATAGTTTAATTCAAAGTATAAAAGATATAGACAGATATAGACAACAAAATTACTTAATTTAAAAAAATATTATAATATTTTTTTTTTTTAATTTAACAAATTCTTATCTTATTCTTTTATTTTTAGTTTTATTCTTACCTTCTTAGTCTGTTCTCATCTTATTAAGTAAATTACATGTTCTATATGCAGTTTCTACAGAACTTTTATTAAACCAAAACCATTATTTATTCCACTATATTATAAGGATGCGAAAGTAGGGAAAAGTCTTATTCAGTAAATTTTTTTTTTCTCTAAACTCTTAAATTCCAAAAGAAATTAAATGTTATTTTTGGAAAAACAAGAATTGAGACAATATACAGCAGAATCCTGAAAACTCAACCTAATGTAGACTGAAAGGTCTTTGAGTTATCAAAAATGTTGAATTTTGTGGAAGAAAGGATGGATTATTCACAACTTGTAATAGGTTATCTAACACCTAAATCTATGGCAATTAAGGCTTATCTCTTAAGGTAGCTAATTTCATTTCCATTGTCATGTTAATTTTGTTTTCTTCTTCAGCATTCTCACTAGTACAGACAGTATAGGCCAGCACCTCAGTAGTGCCGTAGATGATTGGGGTATTCCTGTTCCTAGCTGACTGTTAAGCTTCCCTTCTAGTTTGAAATTGAGAATGTCAAAAGATTTGAATCGAGTTTGTGGTATTTTTTTGTATATACATTTACAAGCATTATATATTAAATAAAAAAATTAAGAGTAGTTTTCCAGTATAGGACAACATATGCCAAACAGTTTTCTCTAGAAAGATATATGCATCAGTTTGACATTTTCAGCAAGAAAGTACATTTTCACCATCAACTTATTTTGATTTTGGTAAAATAAAGTTTTGAAAACATCTGAGATATCTTTCTAAAGTTAGTTTTCTCAATAAACAAGAAACAAAATAGAATAACACTGTTTGAAAAACTTTTTATTGATAATATTTACTTTGAAAACAAGAAGGGTGTTATAGCAGAAAAGATAACACATTTAATTTAATAGTGGCCAAAAAGTAATTTCGGTGTATATATCTTTCTATAAAAAGTTACATGGTGCATGTAACTTTGAATGAAATGTCCAAAGTACATTTACTGAGTAAAATATGCAAGGTGTTTCATAGATCATGGGACAAACCTGAAGGGGTGGTGGAGTCTACTAAAACATGCATTTTTTTATTGGAATGTAAGGTCTAAAGTGACGGGTTAAGGCAGGAATGGAAAAAAAAAAAAAAAAAAAAAAAAAAAGGAGGAAAATGTGTTCATGTACAAAATCAATGCAAAGTGCTTCTTTGTAGCAATACAGTATTCACAGTAAATGCTCAAAATTGCGACCACCAGCAGTAATACATGCTTCGTAATGTTGCAGAAGGGATTGACGAACATTTTGAAAAACGACAGGCATTTCATGCATGCATGCAGCCACAATGGGAATCAACGAGAATCTCATAAATGATGCTCTTCAGATGGCCCCATTAAAAAAATCCAAGCTGGATAAATCTGGCGAACTGGGTGGCCATCAAATGTGTTCACCACAGCCAATTCAGCGGCCCGGAAATGTCCTATCCAAGTAATTGTGGACCCGCACGTGATTATGGGCTGGTGCACCATCAGCTGGAACCACATGCGTTCTCGAACGACAGCCAGAACATCCTGCAGCAATTTCGGTAGCATTTGTTGCAGAAAAGTATGATAACATAAGCCATTTGTACGTGCAGGTAAGAGGTATGGGCCTATGAGGTAGTCGTTAACAATACCCGCCTACACATTCACGGAGAAGCGGGTTTGGAATGCATGTGGACATGTGCCGTGTGGATTATGAGTTGCCCACACGTGCATGTTGTGGCTATTGAAGATGCCGTCCTGTGTGAAAGTTGCCTCGTCCATGAATAGCACATCCAATGGGAAATCCGCCTGCGCCACGCACTGCTGCAAGAACCAGTGACAGAAATGAACTCGAAGAGGGTAATCTGTCTCTTGCAAGACTTGGACTCTCTGCAAATGGTATGGGTGAAAACCATTTTCATGCAATATTCTCCAAATGGTGGAATGACTCAGCTCTAGACGACGTGCAATAGCTCTTGTACTTGTTTGAGGTGATTCATGCACAATGTTTAAGATGGATTCTTCAATGCGAGGTTGTCGTGCACTTCTTCTTCCACTTCTAGTGTCAGAGGTGGCTTCAAATGACCCATTTTCATGGAGAGACTGATGCAACCTCTCGAACATTGTGTGCTTCGGCATATGCCTTTTTGGAAACCGTTCCTGGTACAACCGTAGCACTGCTCTGCCGTTCCCATTAGCAGCACCATACATGAGATGCATGTCAGCTTTTTCCCTGTGTGTAAACTCGCCCATCAACCTCGACATCAAAGTTGAGTATCATCCTCTGATGCATCGGATCGGGGTTTGTCTGGCTCACTACCGCTGCATTGGCAGCCAATCACAGCTGTAGTTCCTATTACTGTTAGTGTTCCCTTTTTTGAACATTTATTGTGAATACTGTATTGCTGCAAAGCACTTTGCATTGATTTTGTACATAAACACATTTTCCTCTCGTGTCGTTTTTTTGCGTTCTTGCCTTAACCCATCACTTTAGACTACATTCCTATACAAAAAATGCATGTACGCTCCACCACTCCTCCAAGTTTGTCCCATGATCTATGAAACACCCTGTATACAAGATGTCTCTCTTTTATTAATATATGCTTTTCTCCCCCTCTAGTTGACCATTCAAAAGACAACTATCCATCTGCAACAACTATATCGAATCCATCTGTGTCTGCACCTACGAAAGATGATGCTTACCAGCAGTTCCTTAGAGAAATGGAAGAACTCTTGTAACTGTAGCATTAAGTTTTATTATTTGTACATAAATTTATGAAAAATCATTATAAAAAATAAAAATGCTGTAAAAAGTTTTTTAAGATTGGAAATCATTTGGACTGTGTGTAAAGGATAGAAAAAGTAAACATAATGCTTTTAGTCAATGTTCATATGCAGAGAGATGTATTCTGGCACATTTAATTCTTCCCTGAAATTATCCTAAAGAATCAGTGCATTAGAATCAGATTAAAAAAAATAAATACCTGATTAATGGTACTACTTTTGTATGAATTTCTTAAGAAATTTTAATATGGAATGAAATAGGAAATAGCAACAATAGGGTATCACTCAGTTTGTAGTAATAACAATTATACACAAGAAAAATTATCCTTTGATAAACAAGAATAGTGTGATTTACAGGGCTATCTAAAATGTGTATAAACAAATCAGTCATTCTGAAACAAGTTTGTAAAGGGAAATTTATGTTGTTTTTTAGAAATTCTATTATTTCTATTTTTAGATTTATTTCTATTATTATTAGATTGGAAATTGAACTACCTATAATATTATAACAATTTTGATTATGTTAAAAAGTATTAACACTTATCTGGAAATGCATTAATCAACATAACTCTTAGGCTTAGCTCATTCATTTCATTCAAATTATATTCATATGTATTAAGAACTTTATTTCTGTGTTTAGCATACTCTTCAGTGTTTATTTTTTATAGTTGAGAATAATTGATAATTATTAAAATTTTCTAATATAATAGAAATTTAACCATTCTATTATAAACAGGAATAGGCAGCCTGAAAAATTAATTAATACTCATATTATTGTTCTCAAAATGTTTTGTTTTGTCAACTATAATTATATTTTCAAAATATAACTTATATTCTGTCTTGTAAATTAATGACCAGTTATTTTATTTGGAAATACTTCATTTGTCCTTCATGTCTCTTTGATAATATAATAATGGCTTATATTTTAAAGGACAGTCAAATAATGAAAACAAGTTACAAATCCTAATTATAAAGATCATAGTTATAAATATTTATGGATATTTGTATGTGTGATATTAAAATAACTTTAGTATAAATTACAAAGTCCAAGATCTGGGCTCATTGGGACTTCAATTTCAGATTTGAGATTTTTCTCGATACTATATCTAGTAAATTTAAATCTAGTAAGATGGCATGTAGAAATTATAAAATTAAAAATATAAAACGGGGATTTATGAAATAATGAAGCATTTATGACCTTTAGGTAATCAAATTTTGAAAAAAAAAAAAAAAAAAAAAAAAAAAAAAAAAAAAAAAAGCTCAATATTTATTTGTTTGCTTTATTAAACATTCACTATTATTGATAGTGATATTTTCTGGATTTAAAACCATACTACAGATTTTGCTATCTGTAAATTTATTGTTAATTGTGGCATTGTCATCACGATGAAATATTTCTGTTATATCACTTCATTTATTACCACTTCTCAACATTTCTTCACAAATTCTATTAATTTGGAAATTTTGCTTTTTGTTTGCAATAGTTTAAAATTTTCGAATTCGTGACTGACTGTAAAGCTTAGTTAATGTTCACTATACACTATTAGTGATGAGATTGGTGTCTAAAGGCATATTGTGCCAAGTAAATTTTGTCTCCCTTCTGTTGACAAAGTTAACTCTGAATTATATTAGTTTAGCTATTTAATAACTTTCAACTATTTTCTGCACATACATACCTTACCTGAGTCTCAAATAAATAAATTCCCTCATATACTCATACGTATTGAGGACCGGCACTAAATATTTTCTGGCTAATGGCTTTCTAAATTGTAAACATTTTGCATCTTTGGATCTTCCAGAAATTTTAAAACTTTGCCATCTCTTAATTTTGTTGCTTGGTGCTTCTCTCTACTATAACAGTTTTGCCTCTCGAAAATTCTGCTGCCCGGTGCGGCCACACCAGCTCGGGTCCATTCCTGAGCTTAACTGAAAATCAGATCAGTTATTCTCAGTTCAAACAACACTAAATGTAATCTTTTAGCACATGAGTATCATTTACAGAATCAGTTTTTAAAAAATGGAAAGAAATTTCTTTTAAATTTTTCATCAATACACTGAATACTTCACATAGGAATTAGCTGAAATCCATAATCTTTGGCAAGTGTTTTGTCAACATGAAAGGTTACCATGCTCTCTGGTATTCAGTTACTAATATTAACCCTTTGAAGCATGCACTATTATTTTTATAATTTTTTTAAATCAAAATCTCTAGAAATTGAATATTATGATCCTAGAGACAAATAATATATGAATTAAAAAAAAATCTACTCTTGCCCATTGTTCTGTGGGTGGTGGTCGCACTATGAAACTACTGTGCGTCGAGGACTTTGAAACTTAGGTAGTAGGAAAAAAAACTTACCTTTCTCTGTGCGCATTTCCAATAAATGACAAAATTTACAATTTTTTTTTTAAATTTATGTAAGAATTGCATTATATATAATTTTTTTTACATTATTTTACAAAGTAAATCGTCAGAAAAAATTAAAAAATAAACGTGTAATTTTTCTATAGCAGTGAAAATATAAGTACCTACATAATAAGGACGTTTGGCTAAATGGATAAATAACTCGATAAAATAAGGATAAAAAAAAAAGAAGTGTTTTTTTTCTTTAATTTCGAAAAACAATTTTTTTTTTTTTTTTTTTTTTTTTTTTTTTTGTGACACTGTTCAAAGCATGTTTTGTCTTTTTGGTATATGCATATTATGTATATGCATTTTTGGTATATGACCCACATTGCATGTTTCGCTCATATCTTCTATGAGGTTCCTTGTGCTGCAAAATGTACATTGCCTAGATCTAAATTTTACTGGTATATGCCCAGCGTTATTTAGTTTCTTTTCATCTGGCACATGAAATTTGTGGTTTTTTATGTTAATGGGGGGGGGGAAGCTTGGTCTTTTTGGCTTTGGTACGGATCATTCGTTTCTGATTCATACTTATTTTATTTGTATTTCATCCCAAAATATTTCTAATTTAAATAAAACTTTACGCAATTTCTATTTTTAATTATAGCAAAGTATATTTACATTAAATTTAAACCACAGGAAATAACTTATAAAATCACAGTACTAGCTTGGGGAGCAAGTGTGTTGAGGTCAGAGAAAAGTCTCTGGAAAAGAAAGATTTTTTTTTACTGGGCAGGTGCATGTATTGTTTAGTAATAAAATAACTCTGTGGTTTCAAAACTTCTTATCTATATTCGGGTAAAAATAAACATTTCTGTTTGAGAAGCAAGCAAACGTCATTGTGAAGAGCAGTGGTTTCAAGGCACGACCACCGAGCCTCTAAAGCATTGTGACACGATGCTCTAGTGGCGCAGTGGACGCGCCCTGAAACCACAAAGCAAATGCCATACATATAGAGGGTTTTTTTATATATGCTGTTTAATTATTGCTATTTTTTATTGTTTATCATAGAAATCATTTTGTGCGATGAATAACTTTTGAAATTTAAAGTTGTTTATATTAATAAAAGGAAGTTATTTTGTCTCATTGAAAACGAATTTTAAAAGGCATCCGATTTGAAGTACTAAGACCTAGAAAATGTATCAGTCTGCACTCATTTTGTGTTATTTAGAGGTAAAAGATCAGTAATCAATTGGTTTAGTAATAAGTCAATAAAAAATTTCGGAAAGATAAGGAGAAAAAATTTCGAAAATTGGTGGTTTCAGGGTGCGACTACCGTGCATCAAAGGGTTAAAGCTAAAAAAAATTGTTGATACATTGCTGCATGAGTTATTTCTCAAGTGTGTTAATACTCATGCGATGATGAAAGCAAAATACAGTACAAAATCCGAGTTCCAGACTCATCAGGACTTTAAGAATTATGGATTTGGGAATTTTCTGGATGTAAGATCACCATTTTAAATGTAATAAGATGACATGTAGAAATTATAAATTTTAAAAACATGGAATTGTGTTAAACAAAAAAATGAAGCATTTATGACCTTAAGGGAATCAAAATTTACAATTAAAAGCTCAGTATTTATTTATTTGTTTGTTGTATTGAACATTTCTTTCATTGTAAGTTTTTTTGTTTTTTCAGCTAACACTTTATATTAATTCCATAGCTAGACGTAATTTCTTGTTCAGTTACAAAATCCCCCTTTTCCAAGGCCTGTAATTGGCAGGAGGAGAATTCTCAGTCAAATGTCAACTGAAAAATTTTTCTTTCTCAGCAACCTCTCGGCCATTTTTACTATTAGTGGCTATATTTTCTGACTTTATAATCATGCTACATATTTTGCCTTCTATTACTTTAATTGATAGTTAGGTTGTCATAATAAAGCAAAGGAAAATCCTTTGTCATATCTTCATTTATTACCACTCCTCCACAAATTCCGTTAAATGGAAAATTTCGCTTCTTGATTGCTATATCTCAAAACCTTCAAATTCCCGACTATCATCATCAATCGTAGCTAGTCCGTTATATGCAATTGGTGATGCATGAGACTGATGACTAAAGATGACTGATGACATGCTTTTCCACTAAACATCTTGGTTCTTTCGCACACAGACAAATTAATTAGTTATTTTATTTTTCTTACATAATTTGCTGTACATGTGCTTAAAGCTTAACTGAGAACCAAATAAATAAATTTGCACGTATGCTTAAACCTTATCCACGGCTAGTTATTTTGTGGAGCAGTGTAGACTCTGAGGGGTTCTAAATTGTTTTGCCAAGTGCCTCCCTACGTTCTAAAATTTTAATACCTCTAAATTTTGCATCCCTCTGCCTTCCCTAAATTTTAAAAAGTATACTTACTATTCCTTAATTTTGTTACTCAGGGGCTTCTCTAAATTCTGAAAATTTTGCTTCCCTAAAATTCTTCCACGTTGTGCTGCTGCACTAGTTCTGAAGCCAGTCCTGGGCTTAATAACAAATCAGTTATTCTCAATTCAAACAGCACTAATGCAATCTCTCGGCCTGAGATTATCATTTATAAATATTATTATTATTATTTTATATGGAAAGAAATGTCTGTTATATTTCTCTTCTTAGGCACATTCAACACTTCACAATGTAGTCAG